GCAAAAAAAAAAAGCGGGGAGAGGTGGGATTTCGGCAGCGCTGTGGCCCCACGCTGGCGGCAGCCCCAGTTCCTGCGAGGGCGGCCGCCCGGCGTTGGGCTCTCCTTCGCTCCCCGTCTGGGGGTGATCGGTTTTTGGGGGCCAACGTGTGTGCTGGGTTCGCTTGCTGATTTTTTTCCAAGATGCTCTTTGACCAACGTCTCTCTCCGGCTGGCGTCCTGCAGGTGCTGAGCCCCGCGGAGGCTGCCCACGCCGTCTTTTCTACTGAACGCTGTGTGGAGTTGCTATTTGATTTTTTTTTTTAATTATTATTTTTGCTAACTTATTTGGATTTTTTTTTTTTTTTAAATAAAGGCATTCTTGTTTGAATGGCTCAGGGCTTCCTTTACCGCTGTCCTCCTCTGTGTAGGTCTCCCCTAATTCCCAGGCTGGGGATTTCTCCGTATCAGAAAATCCAGCTGGACCTCAGCACGGTCACTCAATGGTGGGAACTGGATGTCCCACGCTTAAATCAGCTCTGCAGCAACCAGTGATTTCACTGGTTTGCAACTGGGGCTCAGCCTTGTACCCCAAAAACTCTTGGGGGAGCTAAAGTTTAATTATATTTGCAGTTTGGGCTCTAGAAAGAAGGCTCAAGCCAGCACTGTTTTAAAATCCTGTTTATTGGAACACACATACATCCTTTCCTGACCCGATCCAGGGTTTGGAGTCCATGCAGCACCAATAATATGACGAAAGAAATAGGGCATCGATATAAAGGGCTCACCGACTCTTCAAATTAAAAAAATATTTAATACTGTATTAGGCAAATAATACACCGAAAAGACATCGTGACTGTATAGCCTCTCAGATATTGCACTTCCAGACAGCACATGATAAGTATAAGGTCATTCCAGCCATCAATAAATATCACATCAGAAATAGGGGCCACACAAGGCAAACGTGGCATGAGGAGACGAAGAGATCCTACCCTACGGGGGAGAAATGGGAAGAGTTAAGAACCTCCTGGATTGATCCCTGTCCGTAGCCTGGAGGCAGGAGGGGAGAGCATCTCCTCTGCACCCAGAGGGGAAGGGATGGGCACGTCCCGGGGCGGTGGGTGCCACCGCCATGTCTCCCCAGGCACCCGAGGAGGGTCCCCTCTCCCGTGGGTGCCGGGTACCGTCCCGGCTGGCAGCGAGCCGTATGGGGCGGTTCCAGCCCTTCCCCACGCAGCCCTTCATGGACGCACCGTGCGGGCGCAGCCTCCCCCCGCGTGGCATCTGGCAGCACCCCAAAACGCACCCCCCCAACTGCCCACCCCTTGGCAGACAGCCGCTCTCCTTGCCCCCACGATGGCCGGTCCCTGCTCCGTCCCGTGCAGCGCCGATCCTGGCACTGGCCCCTCAGTCCTTCCTCGGGGTAGCTCCTTGCCCAGCTGCCCAACGTGAGGATTTTCACGAGGCTGAATCTTCCTTGGCTTCGAGTCCTGTGGGCAGCAGTGTCCCTGATGCCCGGGGCTCAGGCGAGTTCAGTGCAGCGGCCCACGGCGTATTGGCAATATGAACCAGGCAGGAGAAAGGTTTCCAAATATCACAGCCCACTTTTGGGGTGTCTCTGCCGCTCTGCCAGGTTACACCACGCTTCTGCCGGCGACGGAGCAGGCACCCAGCGAGCGCACCCATAGCCCGGCCAGTGCGGGGAGAGATGGGCAGACAAGCCACAGGCGGGAGCCGCAGGGAGCCAGGGGAAGCGGTGGGGTGCACAAGCAGAAGGGAGAGCATCCTTTTCGGTCCACAGCAGTGAGACTGCAGCGTCTGTTGGTTTGGACCGAGGAACAGGCGCAGGCTGGGCTCTTGTCCTGAAAGGCAGCCAGCATGTGGCCGTACGGATAGTGGGGATGTGCTGAGAAACGAAGTGGGAAAGGTCCCGTGAGGATGGCAGCTCACCTCCACCCGTGCACCCACAGGTCAACAAACCCAGAGTCGGTAATGAATCCTCCTGGCACAGGGGAGCCATGCCCCAGGGTACAGCAGGGTCCCAGGTGCCTCTTTGAACTGCTTAACTATCCCTCCCTCACCCCAGTGGGACCTCCCATCTAGGATGGCAACCTGGGGTCCCCAGTGGAGCTGTCTGTCCAGGGACTGGACAAACCGTACGTGGCTGGGATGCTGAGCATCCCTTCTGCATCATCTCAAGGTCCTGTGAGCCTCAGGCAGCAGCGGGCTGTTCCCCCACCGCTGAGGTCTCCATGGTCCTCTATGGCAAGGCAAACCTTGGTGAAGGCAGACACCCTGCCTGGGTGATGCCGGGCAGAGGACACTGGGCCTCGCGCTCTCCTCTCAGTTCCCATCCATCTCTGAGGCCTCGGTCCTCCTCGCACTTACCCAGGGCCGGGCTGGTTCCCGTCACGCTGACCCTCAGCAGGAGTACGTCCGGACCGTGGAGGTCTCCAGCCTTGGGGACCCAGAGGCACCAACTGGAAGTGAGTCAAAGAGCAGAGCGTGCAATTAGCGACTGCTCCAATTAGCCCTCGGCTTCCCACCAAAACACTTATTAGGCAGCATCCGTGCACTGAAGCCACATGAAGATGAGGGTAAAGGAAGAGGGACGTTTGGTCAGCTCCGATGCTCCCAAGGCTCCAGGGTATTTGGAAAGTTGCCACTTGCCATCCCTACTCTTGGGCAGCGAGCACTCAGTTACCCGTGTCTGGGTGCTGTCAGACCTAGGGATTTTGTCCCAGGTTTCACTGTCCTCAGCCGGGTGGGAATTGCAGCTTCCAGGGATGGGGAGGAAAAGGTTGAACACAAGTTTGACCCAAACCGCTAGATGGAAAGCTGTGAAATTTGAGCAAATCTGGAGACAGGAGGAGAGCCGAGTCCGGGGCTTGGAGCCGGAAGGTGAAAGCACAAGTTTTTAACTCTCATTCATACACTCATTTCTGAGCCTGCTGAAACCAGCTCTGCACCACTGGGGATGTGGCAGGCGGTTTGGGACAGTGGGACCAGGGTACCTGGTGCAGGGGACAAACCGGGGTGACTTGGCTGGAGCTTGTGCCTCCCTGCAGCTTTGGAAGGGACCAAGAGAACTTGTAGAAAGGAGTCGTATGGTGGTGGGGCGGAGCCTGGAACATGTGTGCTCAGCTAAAACACATGACAGCCAGCAGCATGGGCAGCAAGCGTGTCAAAGCAGGTCCCTGCCAGCTCTGGGAGAGTGGTCGCTCAGCAGCGCTCGGACTGAATCGAGCTGGTTAATTCAGACCGTTTGGGGATGGTTTCCAAAAGGCAGGGTGGACAAGACTGGCCCAGATTGGGCTGCTGCTTCCTGACAGCCCCCAACGCTACCCCAACAGGCTCTGTCTGACCTGGATGCCAAACCCAGGGCGGGTGACACATATCCCCATTTCATGCCCTGATCCAGCCCCCTCCCTCGTCCTGACAGTCTGAAACAAAGAAACCACACACCAGACCAGAGTCTGAAATAACCCTCCTGAAAAAACATTTATAGCAGACAACAGCTCAAGGATCACGTGGATTCAGCATCGCAGGTGATCAGCAAGGTGATCACCCTCCTCTCCTGGTGGCACATCATGCCCCATATTCACCATGAGGTCTGAGCAGGGGTGGGAGAGGACCCTGGAGAGAAGGGGGTGACCTACCTTCCGGGGGCATTTTCTTGGCAGGGGCGGATGGAGGGGGCAGGGGCACCAGGCTGGTGACACGGAAGGCGGCGGGCAGCGTCTCAGCCGAGCCACTGAGCATGTTGATGCTGTGAACGTCTCGTGGGCTGAAGCGCTTTCGCCAGGATGGGGTTCGACGGAAGGTCTTGTCATCGCCCTGTGAGGGAAGAGCAGGTTACAGGCCTGGCAGCAGTGGCAGCAGGACCTTCTGCCCCTGTGAGATACCAGCACTGCTTCCACCTAACTAAGGGTGTGCCTGTACACGGAGACCAACTCAAACAGTGCAGAAGCGTGTGATCAAATTGGGCCAAAGACATAGGAGACCTCTCTGGATCCCATGACATAGGCTTTATCCTTTCCAGCTTGCCTATCTCTTCTCTCCAGCCTGCCTGCAAAGATGCCTTGGAGACATCAACAGACAAGCCCCAGTAAAGACCCCAAGGGGTGCACCTAACCTTGGCCAGACAATGGCATCTGGAATGCCTGCTTCTCTCTGTGCTCTAAAAAGTCCTGACTAGCTCTGCTATCATATCTCATGGAGGAAAGCTATACATAGGAGAGATGTAGATCAGTTCCCACCTTCAGTGACTCAACGTGAACAGCTTTCTGGCTGCTTAATGGGGCATCTCTAACCCACCAGCTTTACCCACCGCAAATGTGTCATGCCCAGAACATCTGTGACTCTAAAAGGCAATATTAAAGCAGCTGGCAAGGAAAGCCAGGTGAGCCTAGTTGAAATGCAGCCCACCAAGCACGAGGCTAGAAATGATGCACAAGACCATTCTTCACCTGCCTCCACAGCCTGGCAGCACATTCCTTGGGGCCTTGTCTAATAGTTTTAGCATATTCCACTGATACTGCTCATGCAATTACTCTAGAGAGTTTGTGATGCACTATTTGACTCCTCTGGACAAAGAGGGAGAGAGCAGAGGTCTTGCCTCTCCTGTTTCCTGCACAATAACAGGTACCCAGCATTATCTGGACATGGGAGAGGTTTGGTACGCACATCATCCAGCCTCCGATCTGTGCCCAAGGCGAGCAGGTTGTTGAACTCCCTCTCCAGCACTTGTCGAGCCTGAAAATAACATCAAATGAGCATTCCCCATCAGTGGGAACAGTCTGCAGCACAAATCCCCATCTCAGGAAACCCTGAGAATGACAGAGAAAAAGCCCACATGCCATCCGAGTGCTCTGCTTTGAAAGGCAGAGTTGAGTTGGTGGGACTGGGGGAGTCACACTGGAGCTGTGTCCCATGCTGGCCACTCTCCACCAAAATCCCCCAAGGATGCTGCTCTTACCTGCGTGTTCTGCGTGGGGATTTGCAACACAAGCGCCAGACTGTTGTGGTCGAAGTTTTCATCGAGGGCCAGGAGCGCCCCGTGCACCCCGCTCTCGACAAGGTTGTTTGCGTACTCGCGAAGCCCGATGGACTGGATCCAGTGAATGACCTGGTCATTGGTCCACACCAAGACATCTGCAAAAGAGTGAGGGCATGTCTCAGCTCAGACCACGCTCTTGGTTGTGTGGGGACCTGATGACGTCCTGAAGCCCTTTTGCACTGCCCCAGGCTGATCCTGGGACTCTCCTTCCCAAGCCAGCAGCAATACTGGGTGCTCAAGTGCCAGGAACAGCTCACTTCAATTTACCAAACTAAATGCTGAAATAACAGGCAGAAAACAACTGTGAAAATTAATCCTAAGAACTCACGGCTGCTGGTGTAATTAGGGGCATTATCAATAATGAGATGTAATCTAAGCAGCAGCCAGATGCGCAGGGAATCTCAGGACAGCCAACGAGGAAGGGGAGGCTGAGCAAGCTGGGGGGTGTCCTGAGCATCTGAAATGGGCAGGAGAAGATGATCTGATGCTTGGACTGGATCTTTCCTGTCTTGACACTCCTCATGCCTGACTGGGGTAAGCTGCATAAAGGCACTCAGAGCAACCTGTTGGGGAAATACTGCAGGGAGTTCCCCCCTGGAGAAGAGCCCTGTGGGCATGGTTGCTCAGAAATAATGATTTTCCCTAGGCAAATGCTCTGTTAAAAACAAGGGATAGGAGAGAGACCATCACTGGGCATCTCTTGGGAGGTTTCTCATCTCCTTTTCCAGAGCTGGATCGCGTATGCGGCTGCTAACCTTTGATTTCATGTTGGGTCTCTTCTCGCCTCCTCTCGAGCTCTTTGCGGTCGTAGTTGAGCCTCTTCAGGCACATGATGCCGTACTGCAGGCTGGTGCTGCAAGGATACGAGATGTCATCCAACCCTCAGGAGGGCTCAGCATCATGGGGCAGGTGGCTTGGAGGGACCCGTGGAGGGACCCACTTCCCTGCTTGCTCTCCATGTGCCCTAAGGATGCTTCGGTTCAGGGTTGGGTCAGGACAGACACAACCCAAAGGGAAGATCTTGGCCAGAAAATGGGGAATGTCTCTCCCTTCCATGGTAATTCCCCACTCCATCAGTTTTACCCTGTTCTACCTGCCTGAGAGCACATGGATCCAAATAATAATACTCTGTGCTTGGTGGCTGGAGAGGGAAGGGAGAGCTAGCCATGGGGGCTGCTCCAGGCTGAAGAGTTCATCCCCAGAGCAGGGAGGGCCCTGGCAGGCCCATGGACCACTCCATGGGTCGGGGTGGATGGTGGTACCCCATGACAGGGCTGGATACTGGTGCTTGAGCAAGGTGGTTGGGATGGCATAAGCCTTCTCCAAGCTGGGCTGCTGGCAGATGACTGCTCTGCCTGCCAGTGGGGTACCAGGTGGGACAAGCCTTTATTTTTACCCATAGTTTGCTCCACAGCCAGGAGAAGGCTTGGCCTTCTTCAATTTTGCTGCAAGGAGTGTGCTGAAGGAGAACATTTTGCCCATATGAGCTGCCCCAGACCAGGTGGTTGAGTTTAGCCTAGAAAAGCCATCCTCCGGCACCAGGGCTGGTCAAGACAGGAGAGAATCCCGCAAATTGGTTCATCCTCTGCTTCATGTGCAGACGTTGCACCCCAGGGACCTCCCAAAGGAGGAGACTTACCGGTGGAAGCTGTCCACCATCTTCAAGTGCACTCTGAGATCTTTCTTGGTGAGGTGGTCCAGCATCCGTGCATCAACAAGACACTCCATGAAGTAGCTGCGATACTGTGGGAGACCCAAGCTGGGCAGCCACTCGTTCCCAATCCATTCGTGGTTCATGTCCCCATAGGCCAGTGTCTGTGGAGAAGCAAATGGAGAAGCTAGGGAGAAACCAGGGCTTGGTGGAGCTGCAGACTCCCAGGAGACCAGTGATGGTTCAGTGCTGCAGCCTAGGAGTCACTGTCCTGAGGACCAAACCTGGGCCAGAGGAATTTAACCCTAGTTTGTACTGAAGGAGCTGGAGGGAACAGTCCTGTTGGCCATGGCTTGTGTCCTACTGATGTCCCCCAAGGAGACAAGGCAGTAGCCAAAAAGCAAGCATAAAGGATAGTTGGACTTTATAACCAGCTTCTTCTGGAAAAAGGACATTCATGAAAGCTGAAACAACTAAGAAATAGGTTTCAGTGCATTCCCAACTGATTTTTAAGGAGCTTAGAAATCACCATAAGATCTACTTTATGACTCGAAAATGAAAAAAAGGTCAGTTTTAGGCAGCAAAACATCCATTCACTTTCACTGCAAGCTGATTCTGGGTCCAAAAATGAAATAAAATCCACCACAAGAAACGTAAAACATTTGAGAGTGATCAAAACCAGAAGAGATGGATCCAAGCAGGGCTTTTTCCTCCCGCCTTTTCAGTTCATGAAAATGGTCTTTATCCTGAACTTGGGGTCAAAAAAAAGGTGAAAACTAAATGTCTATGCAGCTAGAAACCTGCCTTCCATGCAGGGTGGCTGGTCACTCTTATGTTGGGGTTTTAACACAGGATCTGTGTCTCACACGGAAAAAGTCACTCTGCCTGAAGCAGAGAACGATGCTGCTTGATGCAAGGTCTCAGGAGGACCACCCCATGCTCGAGAGAGAGCTCAGAGGAGCAACCACAGGGTGCAGGCTCAGACTCCAAGCAGGACTTGGTGAATACTGACGCCCCATGCTCATCCCCCGGGTGCCCTGCGATGTCCAGCTCTCCCTCCCATGACCACCCCATGTACCGCCCGCAGAAAAGGGTGACACGGGGACCTCACCTGTGCCCAGCTGCCTTCCTCTGTGTCCTAAGCGTGACACATGCAGCATGTCAATAGAAAGGACAGTTAAAGTCAGTACCCAGTGGCCCTGCACTGTGAAAGCATGTGCCACGCGTGCCAAGCGTGGAACCCCTTGGCACGGCGTGACCCAGAGGGGATAGGGGTCGGTCTCACGGCCGCACGACTCAGGGAGCTCAGCCTTGTTGACAGGGTGCTGGGGACACCCCGACCCTGCTGGGCCTGGGTTTCACCCCATCTGTCAGACAAGTAAGGAGGATGCAGGATGAGGCTTTTCTCATGGGCCTTGGGCTGGAGATGGCATAGACACTGGGGCTCATACACCTTTCCTGGGAAATATGGGTAGTTCTTGGGTCCCCCAAAGACAGATGGATGCAGAGAGAAACCTAAGCTTCAGCTTATGGGTCACAACCCCCAGAGGGGCTGCCCAACCCAATTTGCTGATTTTGTCACTATTTCCTCCTTTGTCAACCTGTGCTGGTTTTGCTCAGCCTCACAAAACCTGCCAAGGGAAAGTGTCACGTCCCTGCCGTAACTCTGAGCTCTCCTTCCCCAAAAGGCACCTGCCAGTTACAGGTCTGTGCCACTCAACCAGCAGACAAAAGCTTCAATAAAATGCCTAATTCACACAACAAATCCAAAATGCTGCCCCTGCTCTGAGACACAGACACGGGGTCAGTAAGTTGCAGAGAGGGGAGCACGGCTACATCTCTCCAAAGGAGCCAGAGCTTTTGGGAGCACGGCCACATCCCTCCAAGGGACCCCAGGCTATCAGTCAGTGGTAGGGACAGACAGTTGGGGACAATATTTGGGTGTGCTAAGGTCAATGGGAGATTAGACAGTGACTTCTCTGGGTGCAGAATGACCAATGTGGGACTCAATCTCATGCATCTATCTTGAGATCAGTCTTGGTTTTTGTCTTTCATTTCTTTCCTCTAACTCACAACTGACAGACAAGCTACTCTAGAAACCCAGCAAAACCCACAGGGGCTTGACAAGGGAAAATGCATCTGATGGTTTTTAAGCCAGTTTTAGAAACTGTTGGGATATTAAAGGTTGAAAGATGGTTTCTAAACAGGTGCATGGTGCTGGCCAAGAGCTGACACATGAGACGCAGCAAAGATCCCCTTCCCTCCCGGGGTTTAGCACATTAATGCACGCCCAGAGTTCAGCTCGGTAATAGATACGCCATGTGGCAGCAGTGGGGCTGGCCAGCCTCACCGTCTTGGTGGAAGTTGCCATGTTCTCCATCTCCTCATGGGTGACCCAGACGTTTCCGGAGGACTGCAGGGAAAAGAGCAGAGTGGTCAGGATAAACCACCATGGAGCCATGGCCTCAGTTCACAACTGTGCTGGAAACAAGCCTGGCTTGGGCTGATGGAGGATCAGGCCACCCTTGCGCTTGGAGCTGTACTGGGGAGATCTCGCAGTGTCCTTGCAGCTTGGGCTGGTGGCACCTCACTGCCCATGAGGACCCTGGGCTGTCCGTGCAGCCACGGAGAGCGCAGCAAGGGCCATTGGCCCTTTGGCTGCCTTTATACTTTGGTGTTATGCTCATGGAGTGTGTAGGCTTGTCTCTGACAGCTGTGACCCCAGCCACGGCCATCTGAGGGGACACAGCATGCTTGGGGCCTTTCTGCTGACTGCATTTCTACAGATGTGTCTTGGCATTACTGGGGCACCATTAATCCCTCAGGGGGTTTGGCGACCAGCACAAGACACGATCCCTCCATCCGTTCCATGTCCTATCCAGGGCAAGGCTGGGATCTGCGGTTGCTTTGACTTGCCCCAGGAATTTCACACAGTCCCAGGAAAAGGTTTGTATTGAAATGATTGAGAAAACAGCTGTGCATAACCGAATTGGCCCTGTAAATCATGCATGTGCCATTTGGGTGGGATTTTATCCTCACAAGGGAAGACAATCCCTGAGCTTTGCTCTTTGCAGGCTGCTCGGCAGGGTCAGCCTCTTGGTGACAACCTCTGAATGTGAGGACAAAAGCATCTGCTGGTGCCTCAAGACAGCAAAGTGCTTCACATTCGATGGCCGTAAATGATCTTTGTGCCTGAGGACAAGTGTCTGGTGGTTTGACCAGTCCATGAGGGAACATCTTCCCCTCCATGGCCACTCTTGCCTGTGACACTGGGGCTCCCTCGGGACTGATGGACCACTGTGGTCCCAAGGAGCCAGGGAAAGGGGGGGAAACAAGTGTGTCATCCTGCCCCATGGTCTGTCTGGGGGAAGAGCAGGCTGTGGCATGGAGCACTTACCGTCCGTGAGGTGGGTGGTGCCGAGGGGCTCGTGAGCGAGACCATCTCCTGGATGGCCAGACGCAGCTTCAGGCGATGCAGCGCATTGCTGATGCCGATCTCCCTCTGGATCTCAGTGTCAGATAGGGCTGACATGATGGCTCCGCTCTTCACGTTGGCTCGGCAAGCAGCAACATACCAGGCTGGCATCCCCACCCAGAGCTGCCAAAACAGGGCAAAGCCAGTGACTGCCCGGTTGACTTAGCTTAACTTCCTCTGGAAGGATCAAGGCCACCTTGTTTGAAGCTCAGTATCAAAGCTGGATACCCACGTGGGGCTCCTTTTTTGTTTGTACCTTGCACAGATGGCCTGTGGGCAGCCCAGCATCAAAAACTCAAAGCTCTACTCAAACCACTACTCAAATCAGAATACGTGAGGGATCTGAGGATCTGCTCTGCTCCCCCAGGTTTTGCAACCACCAACCCTGTGCATGGACCAAGCAAGGTGGGACTGCGGGGTGCTGTACCACTGCCGGGGGAGCACACTACAGACCAGCGGTGACTGCAAAGCCGTCGGTGCATGGGGATGATGCGCGGATGTGCTCTGCCTCACCTCCAGCCAGGAGACAACAGTGGGGCCATCCCAGTGAGCAAAGGGCAATCCTTTCCTCCGAGCCTCTTCCAGAAGTTCGTGCCTGGAGGGAACAGAAGCAGAAGAGTGATTTACTGGGGGCTTGTGGGGAAGGGAGCAGCTCTTGAAAGGGAATAGACCACGGGCAATAATAACCAGCTGGTAGCAAAGCAATAAAGGAGCCAACAGGGCCCAAGAGAGGGTGAAGATGAGAAGTCTTTCCAGCAATTCCCAGTCCCATGCCATGGCTTCTCAGCCGTCAGGCAGGACATTTTCTTGTTGGGGCAGGGAAGGAGGTTCACTCACTTCTTCCGCAGGCGCCGATCCTTCTCAGCCTGAGCACCCAGCTTGCCAAGTCCCAGCGGGTCCTGCATGCCCACCTCCATGTCAGTCAGCAGCACTGTTGGGCAAGCAAGACATCCTCACATCAGTGTGATGTCCCATGGGTTCAGTGTGGGCACTGCCACAGTTCCCATGCCAGGGTGCTGGGGATGCACAATCGCAGCACAGCAGGTGACAGTCTCCATTTCCAACCCACCCCCACAGCCCCCTTGCATCCCTGGGAAGCCCAAGGGGATTCCTGCCTGCCATCTCTCCCATTTCAAGATGCTCAGCATCGAAGCAGTAAAGGATTTAGGAGTGGAAAAGCAGTGCCCACCAAAGGGCTGTGCAAAATCAAGAAGGTCCCACAGGGAGGGAAGCAGATTTGGGGACATTAAAGATAAGATACAGTGATGGGGCGGGGTCACTATCCTCACTGCAGCTCTTGCAAGAGCTTTAAGAGTGATAACATGCTCAGGCCAGAAATGGCCGTGGGGCAGAAAGCACCAGGACCCAACTGCCCTGAAGCTGCAGGGAGCCCAGAGCCAGTGGCCCCAACATCCCCAAACCAGCAGGGGTGTTCCTGCTCCTCCGCCTGTCACCCCAACAGCACCCCAAAGCCAGACAGTGCCAGGAGGTGTGCAGAGAGCCTGGCCCGAGAGGACGCCCGCCCGGCACGGATGGGAATAGGGCTGCTCACAGACCCTGCCCCGTGGCCCCTTCTCTGCTCAGCTGAATCAAGCGACCCTTCTCTTTTTTCCCGAACAAGCGCCCGATGGAGGATTTGATCCCCTTCCTCTTGGAGCCCTTGTGCAGGGAGTCCTGGCTGCTGTTGCTGCTGGGGTTGCTGGCCTGCTCCTCCAGCGAGCTGGGGATGGAGGAGGGAGAGGAACAGCAAAGCCTTTAGGTTATTCCCGAGCAGCGCACAAGCCATGGCAAACCCCAGACCGTCCCACAATCCCACACTTGCCCCATGTAAATCCTCAAACCAACAGAGCAGGCACTGGTGTGAGATCCAAAGGGTGCTCCACATACCTCTTCCCATCCTCCTGACTTAGCGCAGGGTGGCCCAGCTTCTCCAGCCGCAATGTCCTGGGTGAGGATGGGGGTGACGTTTCACATTTGATGGTGGTTTTATCCTCTCGGCTTTCATCCCGAGCTGCAGGTGACTGAACAAGCAGAGAAGCCATGAGGCTGGGCGGCCAAAGCCCAGCTCCATCCTTGCCCTGCTGCCTGCCTCTCTCTTGCTCCATGGAGGCATGGCCAAAAGAGCCACCAGGGCCCTGAGGCTTTGCCACGCTCCAGGATTGGCCTGAACTAGAGCTCTGGCAATGGCTCAAGATGCCCAAGCAGATGGGGAGGATGTGGCCATATGGCCAAGATCCTGGGAATAGGGAGAAGAGAGGATGCAGCCCCATGGTCCAGGTCAGGGTGTGGGGACAGAAGCTGCTGGCCCTCAGCAGAGGGCTCTGAGGAGCACAGATGGGAATGTCCCAAAGACACCCTGTCGCCAGAGGGGACACACAATGTTTGAGGATCCAGTGCCTTTCTGAACCTCCCCATGTCCTGCCAGACCCCCCAGGCTGCCAGCCGGCACATCTCCAAGCACCTTACGGGATCCCCATCATCTTCCTGCTGGATCCCTGGGGTCCCCAGCTCCATCCCGCGCCTGCTGCACCCTGACCTGGTGTGGATAAAGCCAGGAGCAGGCTGGAAAAGGGGCTTGGACAAAAACCAACGGGATGGGAGCCACTCACTAGCAGTTTCCTCCGGTGCTTCCTCAAGTCGCTGGGCTGATTGCAAGGGGGAAAGCGAGAGAGACACAGAAAGGGGGGCAGTTAATGGAGAACGCCCCCGCAGAGCAGCCCCGGGGCCAGGTGTGCCAGGCTGGGAGACAGCAAACATGGGCACCCCCGTTCCACAGTACCCTCCCGAACACCCGTGCGGATGCCGGGGCATCGCTCCCACCCCAGGCAGCCACACACACACCCTGTCCAGCGCCCCATCCGCCCCGTGCGCCTCCTCACCAACGTCATGATCCCCATGCGGTCGAGGTCCTGAGCGGCACTGCGGGAGGAGAGCTTGGGGGTGGAGCGGCCGCTGAGCGGTGGGGACGAGCTGGCCAGGGACAGGGCCGTCAGTGAGGTGGGGATGGAAGCCCTTTTGCAGAGTTGGGTGAGGTTGAGGCCCTCCATGCTGCCACTCGTGACGCGGGTCTCCAGCTCCTCTGCGCGGAGCTCGGTGGACTCCTTCTCCTCTTGGATCATCCTGGGGGAGCAGCAGGGCTCAGGGCTCCTGGCTCCCCACCTTTCTGGGGTGCTCCCAAGTCATCTCACACCTCTCAGCCGTGGGATTTCCCTACCCTGGGAAAATGCACCTCGGGTGCTGTGACTTGAGCCTCTGATCTCCAGGGATGGCAGCAAAACCCATCGGGATCCACATAAACCAGAGCTGAGACACTCCACAATTTCATTTAATATTCATGTGTTTTGCTTTTTTTAAATAATGATCCTTTCTGTGAGCGAACACTGGTGCAGCTGAGGGACAGGGAGCCACATGCAGGAAGGATCAAGCCCTGTGGCTGGATGTCCTGGAGCCATTTCCCTGGCTGAAGCTGGACCAAGACCTCAATTTTAGGGCATGAGAGCCTCCTCCCACCACCTGGCAGTTCGTGGCCCCCCAGCGCCATTTCAGAGCAAGGTAGTGGCAGTTTTTGGCCGCGGCCACTACCTGATCTCCTCATTGATGGCATCCAGCTGCTCCTGGAGCATCATGGCCAACGTCTGGGCATCCGAGTGCCCACCAGGGGAGAGCACGTCCATGGAGCTGAAGAGTGTCTCACGGTCGTCCTCGTCCACATCGGAGATCTCGGGGTCGCTGTCGAAGGCGTGAGGCCCCGTGGCCAGGACACTGCCTGCCTGGGCCTGCTCCCAGTCCTGGGGGAACAAGGTTCACTGGTCCCACACGGCACCCCCATGTCTCCAAAAGCCAAATTGGAGGCCTCCACACAACAGTCACACCTCAACACAATCCCAGTGGGGAAACCGTTCCTACCATGCTACCCCCGTCCATGCACCAGGTGAAGGAAATTGCCCCATGTCCCCAAATCAGGGACACGTGAGACCAGCATGCAAGGCAGGAGGAGACCCCAACCCCAACCCGGACCCCATGCTGGCATGAAGATGGATTACCTTGGCTGGCTCCTCTCGCCGGGCAGCGAATCGGCCCTTCTGCGCTCGAGGCAGGCCCGGGGCTGTCCCAAAGGGCTCAGTGGGGGCATGGACTACGGCGCTCAGTGGGAAGCGCAGGTCTGTGGTGCTGCCCATATGGGACCTGGGGAGAAAGAGCCCTGTTCCGGACATTGCTCCGTGCAAGGATGCCCCTGTCCCCGGGCTGCTCCCCTCGCAGCCCAGGCTAGCTCAGGACAGAGGAGGATGAGGCCACTCCGGGATGCCCACCCCAGCGATGCTTGCCTGCTCTGCAAGGTAATGATGCAAAACCAGGCTCTGGAAAAAGGTGTCCCATTCCCCCCACGCTGGCCCTGGAGATGTGCTTACAGACTGTAGGAAGCTCAGCCCTGGGCCCTGCCCTGCTGCTGCCTCCCCCTTCGCTGCAGTACCCACCCAGTTCTGGCCAAAACCACCCAGCGCAGTGGGTCTGCTCTGAAGCCGTGGGCTGAACAGTCCCCAACTGTCCTCCCCTCTCGAGAACAGCTTGCACCTCCCAACACGTACAGCACATCCTGTGCCTGTCTTCTCCATCCCAATGGTACAGAACAGGGGTCAACCAAGGAGCTTTTCTCCCTCTTTTTATGTTTTCTTCAACATTTTCATGAAAAAAACCCCTGATGAATAAAATCCCATTTGAAACAGATCTTCCAGGTGCGGGGACATGGACATTGTTTGGGATCTCCCAGCAGAAACCAGCTGGGACTTCTTCATCCTCCTCCTCCATGCTTGGGCTCGTGCTCAGGAGTGCGTCCCCATGCCAGGCAGAGCAACGCAGCAGCTGCTGTTGGACACGAGGCCACTTTTTGCCGCTCGTGGTACTCACTGCATATCGCCATGTTGCCTGGTCGCTCCTCCTCGCCCTGAAGACCCAACCACACAGCTGAGCAAAGCACCTTCCCAGAGCACAGGGTCATTACTCCCTATATGCATTGCCATAGAAGGCACAAAGTTTTTTTGATTTAAGATGACAAAAGCAGTTGTCCAGAGCAGATCCAAGGTTTTTCCACCATGGTGGGTCTGGTTTCCAGTGCAGATACAGATCCGGGCTCCCCACCCCAGCATCCTACCGAGCCCAGACAAAACCGCTAACATGAGAAGCTTGGCTTGGCGTCAGCCTGGTGTTTGCAGACGAAGGCACAGCCCAAGTTTCAAGGGGATTTAAGCTGTGGAGCTGCTGACAAGCTGCTTCCGAGCTAAAAACAGATAAAGGCGCCTTAGACAAAAGCTGACATTTCAGCTGGGGGATTATTCTGGCCTCTGTAACTCAAGCTTGCTGCTGAATTTTCCTCCAAGAAATTAAAAAAAAATAAATCACCCGTCCTGTTCTTACAGACCCATACAAAGAGGTCCCACACATGCTCCAGACACTCCTCTGGCACTCAGCTATCCTTCATCCTCACAAGCTCTTCCTTGCCTCTCCCCATTTCTTCTCTCCACGACAGATACAGGGCCTCCAGGCCTTCTCCTCTCTGGCACAGCTGCTGACAGATTTGAAGCTGGTTACACCGCCTCCTTTCCATCTTTTCCAGCCTTCCTGAGAGGTGAATTTTCCCCACTGGTGGTCACTCTCATTGATCCCTCGCTGCCTCTAACCCACGTCAAAAGTGCTCAGGAGAGGATGTGGTCTCCCAGGCGGCTGCAGCAATGCAGTGGGGTGCATGTTGTGCTGGCACCCTCCTTTTCTAACCCCTTGGTTTCTTGCAGTGGTGCTGGGTAACCCGGTCAGTGCTGGAGGCTGAGACCTGATGGACTCACCTCTCCTCCTGGTGCTCTGGGCTGGGACCTCCCCATCTCCCAGCTGACTTTAAATGAAAGGGTGTGGGAGGACCACTGTAGAGAGGAGGGGGAAAAATGGGGGGGTTCATTCTCCTTTGCCTGCAACACCTCGAAAGAGATTCCTCCTCCACCAGCCCATCCCCAGCACACCACAGGGGGAAAGGCGTTTGGTGAACTTACAGTTTTCACAGAAAATTAAGCCCTAAGCCCTTTGTGCAGAAAAAGAAATGATGCCCAGTGGTTTTTCACCCTTAGAAGAGCAAATTTTGGGCCATTCAGTTGGGCTGGGCTATTCTCAACAGCCTGTGTCCCACCCCAGGACAAATCCATGGTGGGGACAGCACAGCCGGAGCTGACCCTGCTGTGGTGAACTACCCTGCAGCCCTGCCCCGAGGCTTGGTGAAACCAGAAATGCCTGATGCCAACAGCATTTTGGGACGCTAAAAGCAAAATGCCCCCAAAGCCGTGGGTGCAGGATGCAAGCGGAGTGCGCATAGGCTGATGGGGTTTTGGCAGGCGGCCCTTACCTTGCATGCACGCTCTCCACAAATGTCCCACTTCTGGTCTTGAGCTGATCGACCTCCAGCCTCAGTTTGTCGATCTCGTCAGACAACCGTCGCTGTTCAGGGTGAGACAGGAGACAGGCAGGGGTTGGTTTTGCTCTGAAGAGCATCCAGGTTTGGGGCAATCCACATCCTTAGCTATTTCCAGGTTTATATTCCCTTTAAAAATCCCCATCCCAGGTTTAAAGCACCTTTGACACATCGGTAAAGAAACAGCTCATGCAGGCGATAGTGAATGATGATGCTGGGGCGATGCCGCAAAGGGAGGAAGTGATCACAGGCCAGACAGACAGACAGACTGATGCTCGAAGCGATGCTGGTTTGAGAGATGAAGGAAAATCGGTGCCACTAGGATGCTCTGGTTTTGCTCCAGACTGCACGTGCGCATTCGCCTTGGCAAAGGGCTCGCAGTGAGGGACTTGCTAGCCAAATTTGATGCTGGCCCTGTTCCTCCTGCTGCCAGCCCCATCCTCATTGGGAACCTGTGCCTGCACTAAGTGGCTGTGCTGTGTGATCCAGTCCTGTGGGCAAACAGGCTGAATCAGGGTGGGCAACATGCAGGTGGTATCATGTGAGTCTCCGAGCTTTGCCTCTGCCTGGAGCTGAGGAGCCACGGCTGGGACGCGCGAGCAGTGCCCACACGTCCTCGCCGCAGGTGGGGAGCATCTGGGAGAGCAAGGCCCTGGGCAAGGGGGAAAGCAGCCCCCCGATCCCCCCAACCATGCATGAGACATGGGGCACATTCCAAAAGCTCCCGTTGCTTCAAAAACCTGCAACCCTCCAGCTTTCCAGCACAGGCCAACGTGGACTCATGTTGCAGACCCTACTTAGATGCTTTATCTGAGCACAGGGGAGGTGCGAAGACCTACGGGGCCTTCTGCAAGCTGGGCATGGAGCAGATCTCCCCCCAAGTTTGAGTGAGCGGGTTGAGAAAGCCTCGAGGGTGAAGGGGATGCGGCTGCCTGAGCAGCACTGTCCCTCGCAGCCAGGCTGCACCAAGGAGCGCTGCGGTAAACCCTCCTCTAGACACGTGGGCGAAGCCACCCTGGCCTCACTGCTGTCCTCGACTGGGGGTCAGGGATGGATGATTGTGATAGAAATATGGAGACGGGACTGAACGTGCCTGTTAGGGAACTGAACCGGGGGTCTCTGGGGAGGTGGGTGGCAGCTTCCATCCAGCCACTGTGTGGGTTAGTTTGTGGCCTCCTGCTGCTGGGCGCTTTGGGATCCCAGCTCCTCCGAAACTAGGGTATTTTAAGAGGCGCGACTGCCACTAGCCGGGGATTAGGAGCGAGGAAGTGCAGTCACTAGGGCAGGCTCTCTGCAGCGGCATTTACCTTGTCGTGCTGGTGTTCCTCTATCTGCTTTTGGGTATTTTCCAGCTCTTGTAACAATGTGTTCTTTGAAAAAAGAAACAAAAGAAAAGGGAACAAAAACAGGAAAGAAAAAGAGAGACCGTTTAGAAAACGGCCGTGCGGCCTCCCGGGAATGGCCAGCGTGGAATCACTGCATGGACAGTGTGACGAACGCCTGGCAGGAGGGATGGCAATGGCTCCCTGATCTATTCCTCACCAACCTGCCTGCGAACCGGTCTTCTCTGCAAACCTCCTGCTCCTCAAGCAGGGCTGCTGTAGCTCAACTCCTGCCTCACACCAGGGTTGGGGCATGGCCATGGAGGGCAAACGGCAATTAGAGATTTGATGGGCAGGGCTTGAAGATTAGGAAATGTGTCTGCTAGGAGATCAACTCCTTGAACAGCTGGATCAAGGGCAAAAATGTCCCCCACATCTAAGCTAGGGAATAGGCAGGGGGAAAAGAACATGTGTTTGCAACTGCCTGACCTCGTGCTCATTTTTGGGAGGTGCTGGCAGCCAAACAGCATCATTTTTGCCCACAGAAGACCTGGAGAAACTCTCTGGGTGAGCCAGTGCTGGCAGCAGGCTGGAGAGCAGACAATGCCCCTTTGCAAGATGCTACTGCTCTGGTCGTCCCTGTTGCTTGCTGGGGTGGTAATTTGGACTCAGCCCCATGTGTTGGGTCCTGCTTTTTATCCAGAGCCACTCAGACATCTGCTGAACAACTGGACACACTGGCACAACTGGGTCTGATTGAGGACAGGAGGCGCAGAGCAGCAGGGAGACAGACCCGGTCCTGGAGGGATCAGCTGGGAGATGCAACCCCTCTGTGCTCTGACTTGCTAAGGGGAGCCTGGTCCCTGCAGGAACCCAAACAGAGGTGAATTATCAAGGGCTGACCTCCCATTGGCATTGTGAGGTTAATCCTTGCTCTGAGCCACGTGCTCTCCCAGCTAATTGCATTCACGCTGGGGCAGCAGGAACTCCAGCTGGCTCCTCAAAGGAAAGCCCAGTTCCCCAGGAGGAGCGGGGTGGGAGCTGGGAGGCTGCTCATGGACTCTGCCGTGGCTTGGAGAAGGCAGATCAGTCCGGGCTTGAGGGACAGGAAGGTTTCAAGGCAGCATGTGGAGGGGATGGGCAGGTGGGAGAGGATGAATGCTGCATTTTCTCCTGCAAAATGCAGTAGGGTTTTGCTCCAACAGCCAGGCGCAGGCTGCAGTCGAGGCTGCGCCAGAAGAGACACAGGGAAGCGAGGGAACGGAGCAGGACAAATCCTGCTGCTGTTGGAGGTGAAAGCCAGTGGGGAGTGGGTCTTACTGGGCGAGGGGCAGCTGGAGGCGAGGGTGCGATGCAGAGCACGCTTCCCTGCCCTCCCACCGGCCCCAACGCCCGGCTGGCATCCTGCATGTGATCATTTCCCCATCCCTGCACAGGTACTTCCAAACCCCTGTGCTGTGGCTGGCCAAGGCTCCCTGCCCGAGGGGCTGCAGACCCCCCTCACCCCCACCCCCCCCC